CTCTCTGTCCCTCTCTGTCTCTCCGCCCCTCTCCCGTGTCACCTGCTGCCAGACCTGGGGAGCACAGACAGGCTGGGGCAGGGGTTTTGGTCACACAGGCCAGAACGAGCTCTGACAGACAGCCCTACCATGGACAGAGGAGTGTGTGTCTGCTTCACGTGTGCCCTGCCTCTTGCCCACAGGCCTCGGGGACATGAACTGGGTGACAAAGCAGGCAGCTGCCAGCAAGCGCCCAGGAATGCTGCATGGTCAGGTGTTGCTCAATGACATGGTTGGCATGGAGCCTCACGTGGCCTCCGGCCATTTCCTGCGTGTGTATCATCGCCCAGCGAGGTGCTCAGGCCCCGGGGGTGGACAGACCGCTTCCTTCTGGGCTCCCCGCCGCACGTGCCCGTGCACCTATCTACCCCTACAGCCCTCACTCTCCAGAAACTTGGGGCCCAAGGAGAAGAGACGGTTGTGAGTGATGCCACGGGGCTTCGGGGCCCCGAGGGCACGTGCTCCCCAAACCGTGCAAAGGATAGGTTCTGCTTCAGGGCCACGAGCTCGCTGGAAACGGAGATGAACCCGAGAGCACTTTGTCACTTAAGCGTGTGTGTGCGTGTGTGTCTCTCTCAGCGGCCGCAGGTGTCCACCTCTCTCCAGGAGCCCAGGTCCCACCACTCCCAGGGGCTCAGCAAGAACCCTACAACTGTCCATGGTCATCTTCCGCCAGGCCTGTCCAGGGGACAGGTCTAGCGAGAGGCACGTCGAGAAGACACGGCCTGACCTCAGCTGCCCTGTGGCCAGGCCGGCGACCCGGGGCATCGCTGCTCTGTCCTCTCGTCCGTGCCATGGGGAGGGTGTGACGAGGCAGGATGCCAGGGAGCCTAGTGACGGCAGGCAGGCACGTGGCAGAGGCCCTCAGGTGGGAGTGGTCCTGCTGATGACTGCCGAGAGCAGCATCCGGGGCGTGCTGACATAAACCCTTGGCACTCCAAGGGCAGTGGGCGGGTGCGTGAGGGGCAGCGCTTCCCGGGACCAGGCCTAGTAGCATCGCTGTCCGCACCTGCCCATTGCAACCTCCCTGCTCCCCGAGCTGTCGACTGGGGCTGAAGGATGTGTCTGGATGGGAAATTGTTTTTCTTCTTTTGAACGCTCCTTGGGGGATGAGGCCCAGAAGGGATGGGTGGAGGGGTTGTGCCCTCGGCCTCCCGTGGGAGCACCATGCCCCGTGCACAAAGCGTCACGGGGAGAAGTTTCAAGAGGGACTATAACGAGGTGCCCAGGTGTGCATGGGCAGAGAATCCGCACCCCCAGAGGCTGGGGGAGGAAGGAGCAGCTGGGGAGGGAGAGCAGAGTGAATGGGGGGCCAGATGGTGTCAGCGCCAATGGGAG